AGGGATTTACGTGCCCCTCCTAAAGTGTCAAAAGTTGATGAGTTAAGTTAAAAGGAAACAATACCACACACAATTTCTTTCCCCTTTTTATTACATTCAGTTATTTGTAGGCATGTATGTGCCATTACACCAGCGTAAAAGTCAGAGGAGAACTTAAAGCTCTCCCCTACCACGAGTTGATGCTGGGGATTGAACTCAGGTAATCAGGATTGGCGGCAAGCCCCTTTACCTGCTGGGCTACCTCACAAACCCACAGATTCACTTCTTTTTAATTTATTTTTTCTTTTTTATTGTTTTTATTGAGCTATACATTTGTCTCCATTCTCCACCCTTCCTCCTCTCTCCCCTTCAACCCTCTCCCATGATTCCCATGCTACCAATATACTCAGGAGATCTTGTCTTTTTCACTTTCCTATGTAGATCCATGTATGTCTCTCTCAGGGTTCTCCTTGTTGTCTAGTTTCTCTGGGGTTGTGGCCTGTAGGCTGTTTTTTCATTGCTATATGTCTAAAAGCCACTTATGAATGAATACATATATGAATACATATTATATTTGTCTTGGTCTGGGTTACCTCACCCACATCAAACAGAGGACTGATCTCCAAAATATAAAAAGAACTAAAAAAAACTTGACATCAAAAGAACAAATAATCCAATAAAACAAATGGGGCACACACCTAAACAAAGAACTCTCAAGAGACGAATCTCTTGAAAGACGCATCCTTAACCATCAGAGAAAAGCAAATCAAGACAACTCAAGATTCCATCTTACACCTGTCAGAATGTCCAGGATCAAAAACACTGATGACAGCTTATGCTGGAAAAGATGTGGGGTAAGGGGAACTCCTCCATTGATGATAAAGTGCAAATTTGTACAGCTGCTTTGGAAATCAGTATGACCATTTCTCAGAAAATTAGGAAACAATCTACCTCAAGATCCAGCAATACTGCTGTTGGGTATATACCCAAAAGATGCTCAACTGTACAAGGACATGTGCCCAACTATGTTAATAGCAGTATTATTTGTAATAGGCAGATCTTGGAAACAACCTAGATGCCCCTCAACCAAAGAATGGTTAAAGAAAATGTGGTACATTTTTACAATGGAGTACTTACTACTCAGTGGTAAGAAATAATGACATCTTGAAATTTGCAGGCAAATGGATCTAGAAAAAACCACACACAATTTCTAAGCCATGAAAAGATGTGTGACAAGGGGCTAATTTCACGAGTGTCTGAAAATCTAAGCAGAATTCTTGGCCATCGGAAAGACTGATTCCCTAGACTATGTACTATGAGTTTGGCTGGAAGATTCCCTACAGTCAACACAGTCATCAGAGGGCACAGCCTATCAGAACACACACACAGCAGCTCCATGGGCACCCAACAGGCATCTGCCACCAGCAGCAAACATGCACTGCACTTGCTCCACAGCTGAGGGTCAGCAGAAGGGGAAGAATGAACAAACGGCCCTTTCTTCAGGAAGTGTGCCACAAAGATAAGGGCATTCCCATCATATGTACACACATAGTTATCTAGTTCAGATTTCCATTTGTTAGTTCCTAGTTTATTCAATACTTTTACATTTTTTCCTCCTTGCTAATCCCTATAATATTGTAAGGTAGACCTCTGTGTGTTTCTTTGGGGCTGAATGACTATGGACCCGGGCGGGCCAGAAACCTCAGTCAACACACTCCCACTTGGATGTCTATTAAAGATTGCCTTAAACAAAAACAAAATGTTGGTATAAATGATGTGTGTTTCCACAACCATAGCCCTGAAATCCCACTCCACTCACAGATTTCCAAGTCTCAGGTGATGGCAGCCCCAGTGTGTTATGCTGCTGAGGTTCAAATCCACAGAATTGCCCTTGATTTCTTTCTCCCTTAATCCTGTCTACCTTAAACCTGCCAGCAAAATATGCTGGCTCTACCCTTAAAATACATCTTGAATTTAACCACTACTTCTGTGTTCCCTACTATCAAATTTATCCAAACCACCATCGTCTCATACCTAGGTTGCCAAAAAGCTTCCTAATGAACCCCATTTTTACCCTGCCCCTTTCCCTAAATCTATTCTCAACTTTGTAAGAGTGTCCCTTAACAAAACCTAAAACAGATCCTGTCATTCCTATGCTTAATCCCTCTGGTGGCTCTCCCTCTCCCCCAAGATCAAAGTCAATAATCCCATGCACCCCGTGTTTGAAACTCTCTACCCATCACTTCTCTAATCTGCTCACAGCAAATTTTTCCTTTCAAGCAATCTACTTCTAAATCTTAAATCTCCTTATTGTTCTTAATACATAGAAAATTATACTTTACATATATGCACACACACACAGAATTCCCCCCTCTTTAGAAAATAAATGAAATGTGTGTTCTGCTGACCAGGGAGGTTGGCTTTTCACATGAACATATCCCAAGAAACTAGCCAGTGGGAGGCTTAGAATAGGTTTTCAAATCAAAATTGCTTAATGAATGAACTCTTAGGAAGCTATTAAGGGCTCAGCCACGTGACTAGACTCCTTCTGCTAAGAATCTTACTGCATTCCTCTCACTTAAAGACACAGTGTCCCCAAGTAAAGCTTAGTGACCAGGTTTTCAATCAATTGCTGTCACAGTCAATGAAAGTAGAATCTCACCACAAATATCACAAAATCAAAACCAAAACAAAAAATGTCACTCAATCATCCACTTATCCATGATTCATTTACTTAATAAAAGCTTGGGTAATTAATGAGCTATGCTCAGGTCTTAGGAACAAAAGTAAAAGACTGAGTTTTGACTTGCATGGGATAAAGGCAAGGAATTGTCCACTGTGGTTTTGATAAGGAAAGGTCCTGTCTATGAGACGATTCTCAAAGAGAGCCCTGGGAGGACCAGAGGTTACCAGAACCACTTTTGTCCCTTTAGGTAAGTTTTAAAGAGTTAGTTAAAGGGCCAACTTGGGTGCAGGAGAAAGGAGAAAGTCATGTTAAGGAGAGGACAGACACCCTTGCCAGAAAGCACAGGCAGACGTGGGAGCAGGAACTTCAGGCAACTGTGTGGGAAGTCCTGGGATCCAGGAGCTGTGTGGAGGAGGAAGGCTGTCTCTCACGCTGCTTGCTTTGATTTAATCTTAGAATTAAGTGGTAGTCATTAGAGGTACACACGCAAGCTCATTTCAGAAGTCTCTGTAGTAAGCAGTATGGTAAGTGAGGCCTTGAAGACAAATGATATTTCAAACCAGGTTGGAAGAGTTTTTTTTTTTTAAATGGTAAGAATGAATTGTAATTCTTGATCACAAGCCACCTGGTACTTAATACTATCGTTTTTATTTGCTACCTCCTCCTCCAGTGGACTCAAAATAGAGAACAAGGGAGTGACTTGAAGTAATTCCTAAACATATCCTGACTTTAAATCTTAGAGGAAGGGAAACAAAGAATAAATACATGTTCAGGAAAGTCACACTATCTCTCTCCTCACAGAAGAACCCTGCGGGACAGCTCCTTCAAGACAGCATTTACCGATGCTAAAGGAAATACCTGCTCCTGCAGTGACAGTCCATAGACCTCACTCAGAGGGACAGGCACTGACTCTGAGTAGCTATCTGTCACTCGGGTTTCCGGGATCCTGCATGGCAACACTGAAATCTTTCTTTGTCCTTTAAGTGAGGGAGAAGAATAATTACCTCAAACAACCAACTTGCTTTGCTAGGGCAGCAAGGCTCTTTCTCCATTGTCTTGGTCCACAGCTGCCTGCTTAATCAACCTTAGAGGGCAGTCAGGCCATGGGGACCCCAGTAGGCAACTGGAAGAAGAGCCCCAGTGGTCCTGTCTCACTGCCACAGATCTGAAAATGGGCTCTTGGGTTCCCACTTTGAATCATGTTGACTTATTTTTTGTTAACAAGTGATTTTTATACTGCTACCAGTAGTCTAGAAGTTCAAAAGGGACAAACTAAAAATTAGGAACAAAAGGATTGTGACCACAGCTACCACGTCCATTATAGTTGCCTCTCAAGAGCAGAAGTTGAGGTGTGAGGAGTTTGTTAAAAATCAAAATATAAAACATGTTATGAAAGTGCAGTCGCTAGCTGGGCAGTGATGGTGCACACCTTTAATCTCAGCAGAGGCAGAGGCAGGTGGATCTCTCTGAGTTCAAGGCCAGCCTGGTCTACAAAAGCTATTTCCAGGACAGGCTCCAAAGTTACAGAGAAACCCTGTCTTGAAAACCAAAACCAAACCAAAACAAAACAAAAAAGTGCAATAGTTCCTGTGTGTGTGTGTGTGTGTGTGTGTGTGTGTGTCTGTACATGTATGTCCACATTTCAGTAGGCCTTGTAAAAAAGAAAAAATCCAGCCTACCTATTTAAGAAAACTGAGAAAGGAAATATGGGAGGAAGTGGGAGTATTATTAAATCCTGTTGAATTCAAAGGGTTCGGTAAGGGACATGATGTGACTTTAATGCTAATTACCAATTCTAAAATATACTCAAAGGGAAATTTTCTTGGTTTGAATCCTTTTTACTCAACAATGAGGTGATATTTCTTCTATGAAGTAAAGTTAAAAAATGAGAAAAGTTTCTCAAAGACTGACTCCATATTTAAATGTCGTATGGAGGGCTGTGGGGATGCTTCTGTAAAATAAGTGAAACTTGTTATGTAGGTAGTAAGAAGTTTGGGATTATTTTTAAATTCTACTATGTTTCCCTTTAAAATTTTACCTTTTTAACTTACAGAGGTATTTTTGGAGACAGGGTCTCACTGTATACCACTGCCCGTGCTATACGGACCAGGCTGGCTTCAGACTCAGAGAGATCTGTGCCTGTTTCTGCCTCCTGAGTGCTGGGATTAAATGTGTACAAAAGGGTGTTTTTCCCCTTTTCTTTTCTTTCTTAAGGGCAGAGGAGGAGTAAGAAGACTCAAATTGGTTCTTCCTCTTCCTCTATTTCCTAGAAACAGTAAATATAAAAACAGCTGAATCAATTTAAATTAAATATAACAACATCTATAAATCCATATTCAACAGGATAACAAATCTTATATTTATTTAGATAAAACAATAAAAGAGGGAGGGTTTGAGTATCTCTTATGGTTTCAAATCAGTTTTAAATATGAAGCTTTGGAATGATTTCCTTATACACATGTCAGTATTTCACCTCTGATGAAAGACAATAATCTTCCTGATCATTTCCTGGAACACAATTATACCAAAATAAATATGTCATTTGATTTAAAAACAGAATGGTAACACTCATACAATTAGCAAGTGCGTTAACTAGCTGGGAAACGGTCTTCTCGAATAAAATAAATAACCAAGAAAAAACAAAAAGGAACTAAATTCAAAAGGGAAAAATTAAAAATGGCATTTTAAAAGACAAATTTGATTTTTCATATTAGTCATAGTAAATTCATACTATCTGCCTCAGAGGGTTATCATAAGGGTTAAACAGTGTGGTGTATGTGTGTGTGGGGGGGGTGGGGTGTTTAGTGAAAATGGTGCCTGAGTCCACACTGAATGCTGTATGGAGATATTCCAGATATAAACAATATACAATACTGATGCTCATTTTTATTACTGTCAACAAAAATTTGTTACTAGATGACTCTGGTAAGGCAAAGGGTCTTGAGAGAACTGTCATCTGACAGCCTTATTTCACTGAAGAAAGTATCCAATGTCTCTAAAACCTGGAGCAAGCAGTAGCCATGAGAGAAGGATCAGCGCTCTGGATTCATAGAGGAAGGATGACAACTAGAGCTAAAAAGGAGAAATAAGACTTGCCCTGCACTTCCAGTGAGCTGGACCCAAATCCAGGGGAGGTCACAGAAGGAAAGAACTGCTCAGAAGCAAACGATGACAGCTGTCAGCGCAATGTCCCTCACTGTTCTGTACTGTTGCTAGGTCCTTGCATCCACTGATCCCTGAACCACAGCAGCCTGGCTCTCCAGTCCGCTCATAACCACTGCAACCAGCAGCGAAGCTTCCAGCTTCGGACTCCCAGGCAAGTGTCCTCACCACTCTACCCCTATTTCCTCATTCAAAAAACAAGGGTTAAGATCATCTCAGTACACGGTAAAATTATTACATTGAAAACTAGCCCCTAAAAATGCTGGATACACAGAAAGCACTTCATTACATTTTATATAAAGATTATTTTAATTTTTCAGAAAAAAATACTTAAATGTCAACAAATTGTGTCTTGGTTCTTAGGGGTAGTATGATACAAATGTCTACCAAGTAAGTGGAGTTCAGGTGGAAGCTTGCTTCTTGGGCTGTTCTTCTAGCTAAATAAGATCAACTGTGAAAAATTATAGTTAAAAGTGCCACAATGAGACCAGGTTCTCCATATTCATTGGTGTGACAGGTTATAAGGTTAGATCATGAATAGGTGGGGCACCACTTCCCACTAGTCCTCTGACCATCCCTAACTCAACTGCACTTTCCCAGGAACAACTGTGCCACAGCTCACATTAACTAGTGCCTACTTAGCTGACTCCCAAGCCTAGTCAGTGCAGCTCACCTCTTTGTGCGGGTGCAAATAGAATCCAATGTGGCCGGGCTAGCCCTCTATTCATTCTTAAGCCTCTCCTTTACACATTCTCAGGCCATTAATCATTTAATTCACTTCTGACCCTGCCCTCAAATAGCCTATGCTCCTCATTAACTAGATGAAGGAAGCAGATGCGAAGCTCATTCACTACGGAGCATACATAAGTGTAGTCTTCCTCCACACCTCTGAGCCCCAAACCACTGCAAAAGCAAGCCAACAGCTGCAGTGTCTTTGCCAACATTTTCATTCGGGTTGAAGAAGAAAACCAGGTTTCTAGTTCTGCTTTCCAAGGGCAAGTCTTTTATTTTCTGATACCCACTTAGGATTGTAGTTTACATTGTCTTCCCTGCCTCGTCTTATAGCAACTTCCTCTCTCTAATTGTCTACCAATTTCCCCCCACCCCTCACAAAAAAATACAGGGGGAAAATTTCAGCCTTTCACTAAGTTCAGACTACCTGCTTTCCTACCAACTATCTCGAGTGGTCTCTTGAGGTAGGTAGGCTGTGTAATGGGTTGAATCAATGTGACCCGCTGGAAGGCAATCTGACCCAGGTCCTTCTGGAAAGCATGCACTTTTAAGTATGCTTAAAAGTCCCAGCATCCAGCCACCCTCGGGTTTGGTAACCATTTGTGATTTCGTTCATTCACAATATACATTTTAAACACCCACAAGGAAAGAAAATACACTGCAGAAGTTTATTAGATATGACAAAATGGCCCTTTAACTAAGTGCTGTTAATTGCTTTAGGTCAAAGTTAATGAATTGGCGACACTAATATCTTAAAAATGTGTTTTTGGAAGCAAATGTCCATGTGAGCTAAGGAGGAATGGTTAAAGTTGCTATGGTGATGTAAATTACTCATACAAATGCTGAGTCTTAGCTTACTTAAGATTTACCACCTACAGAAAAGCAGCAGTTTAGGAAAATAAAGGCTTTCATACATTGTAGGAAAATGACCTGGCGAAAGGAAGCAGTAAGAGTGAATATCAGGCATTTAAAAAGCAGAAAGTGAGGGCTGGAGAGCTCAAAGGTTAAGAGCACTGGTTGCTCTTCCAGAGGACCCGAGTTCAATTCCCAGCACTCACATGAAAGCTCACAACCGTCTGTAACCCCAGTTATCGCAGATCAGATCTGAGGCTCTATTCTGGTTTCCGTGGGCGCCAGGCATACACAAGGTGCACAGATATACACGCAGGCAAACACCCATATACATATAAATAATTGTTTAAAAGAGGATAGCTAACTAGCAGGGGTGGAACAAAAACAAAACAAACAAACAAAAACAAGGAAGAGGCAAGGGCCAATCCTTCAGAGCCCCGAGCCAGAACCGATGCATTTTGTACACTCATAAAAATAAGAAACAAGCAATATTAAAAGGGTAACGCTGAGCAAATGAACAGACAGCAGACAGGAGCAAGGATGCTGAGTACCACTGGGAGAGAAGCCCAAGAAGGATACAATAGCCTGGATCTTGCTGGCAGCAGAGATTGAAACCGGGAGTTAGATTCCAGGAGATAAAATCAGTAAGACCTGGTGAGTGATTAAAGATAGAGTGAAAGAAATGGAGAGAACTACCAACGCATATTGATGCCCTGCATCTACACGCACATATATACGCAGGGAAATGCAGAGCATCACAGCTTGCAGAGTGCACACCAAACTGTCAGCAGATGTTACCTGCAGGAAGAGATAATGAAGTTTACATAGTAAATGGCAGATTTTTAACTATATACATGTATACATTACTTAAGTATTTTATAATCTATATACACAGTTTTCAGTCAAAGTTCATGTGGAACTAAAAAGTGGAGGAGGGCTGGTTCAAGATGGGTCAGTGGGTAACTTTAGGCTTCTGCTGCCAAGTGGAACCGACACTGTGAAAGGAGAGAATCAGTTCACACAAACTGCTTTCTGACTTCATGTGTGTGTGTATGCAGGTGCACAATGCATGTATACACACACACACACACACACACACACACACACTTAAAAGGCATTTGCTGGAATATCACTGGGGGAGAAAGAGGAACCAACCAATAAACAAGACACGCCAACTTACTGACACCCCTGGTGACTTGAGTTTGACTCTCAGAATACACATGATGAAAGGAATGAACTCTACACATTGTCCTCTGACCGTAGTGTGTGTGCAGCACACATGTACAAACATATACAAACACACCCATTTTAAAAGTGCAAATATGCAAGAATATGTAGTCTATTTAGGGATTACCAAGTAGTCTAGTCTCTGCAGCAGCAGGAGGGAGGTGAGTTCTGAGACGAGAGGACTGGAGCTCCTTTAGGGAACAGCCACACCAGTACAGGTTACTACAGTCAGAAACTATACAGAACTACCTAAATTATAAGAACAGAAACAATATAGGTTTTGAGCATGAAGGTGAAAAAAATCGAGTTTATAATATAGTAAGATTATTCAGGAGACAGTGTGAAGACCAAGCTATAAGGTAGGTGAGACACAGGAAGGCAGGTGACCAGGGGAGCTGGAATAGAACATGAGACACACTTGAGAAGAAACTGACAGAACTTGGTGGTTACGCTGTATTGACAGGAAGAAGTCAGATGTCACATGGCATCCAGTTTAGGAAATGAGGCATCGATGACATCAACCTGCAAGAACACATTAAATGTGGCGGTGAGTCTTGTTTTGAAGTTATTAAAGTTCCTCTATAAGAAGGTCAAGCACCCCACAGGAAACTGGATATATTATAAGTTTAAGCTGAGGAACAATTAGGGTGTCAGCAAAATACACTATTACCCAGAAATGTTACACATACAGACACAAACTTGCCCTTGATGTTATTTCACTGAAACTTGATGCAACTGTCAAGAGTTGACCAGTTCCATTTATTCTCATAGTTGTAAAAATTCCATATAATTCTTAAAATCTGTAGGCAATAACTTTAAAAAGTAGGAATTTTTGTCATGGTCTCTCTCTTAAAGTATTATTTTTTAACCTTTTCCTGTTGATCTGTTATTCATTTCATGTGTCTGCTTGCCTTGTCTATCTAGGATAGATGAAGTATTATAAAGTACAATATAAAAACCACTTACGATTTATCTTAATTGCAAAGGAAAAGCACTCCATAACTGCACCTTTACGAAAACCTAAGTGATGATTTACATTGCGACTCTCCACTGATCTCTGGTACCCCATCGGCCTTCAAGTAACATTTTCACTGTTGCTAATGTAGCTCCAACCATAGAGATGCATCATACTGTCGGAGGTACCTTGGTCTATGTCCTAGCTTGGTGGGGAGTAGGAAGTACCTGTAGCCAAGGAAACAGCTGCTTCCTTCTGAGCAAGGGAAAAGGTGACAGATGGGCAGAGCAGAAAAGCAGCCAAATGCTGCTCTGGCTTCTCATTGGCAAGAATTTTAAGAATCAAGACATGACTGGATAGTAAAGTCTATCAATGATTGAGAGAATATCGTCTGTCTGGGTGTTCTCCCAACACTCAATAGAGCTTCCCAAACTTATATATTTCACAAACGTTAAGCATGACATGGTAGCAAGAGCCTTGCCTTCGCTTTCTACAGTGAGCTAAGACAACAAGGCAGGGTCCCATTGAACTTTGAGGATTATACCCAAGAGAATGTATTTTCTGGTAAAAAATGTTTTCAAAAGAAACTTTTCATTTCTAAAGTTATATTGGTGTGACTTCACTATTAAAATTTCGTTAGAAAATGTCCTTCTTAAATGTTTACTTTTATATACTTAATTTTAAAATATTTGCTGAAAAGTGTTATTATTTCTCTTTTTGGCATTTCCCCTCCCATCTACTTTTGTGCCTAGGGCATTAACTATCCAAGGACTCCTAGGTTAACTAGACAACCAACGGCCTGATATGACTAACATTTTTCTTTAAAGCTGTAAGAAGGTAAGGTCTTCAATAGATGGAAAACAGTAATCACTAAAAACATTAAAAATTAGTGTGCCATGAACTATGAAATTTTAAAACATCAGTTTACTAAACTGAAATTCAACATTTATATTTTCATCAGAACTTAATAATCCCATAAATAAATAGAGCTCTCAATTATTTAAAAAATCAAGGGATAACATATGTATTTAGACATATTAGCAGCGTAAAATGTATGCTTCAACACACTTATTGATAAAAAGTCCGAAAATATTACTACACTGAATTCAAGGGCGTCCGCAGGAACCTGACATAGAAATTCTCTAGAATAACATTTCAGGAACTTCCAAAAAAAGGGGAAAGAGTCAAATAGGAAACAGCCTCAACTTAATCGACAAAGTTCAGTGCTTGCTCTAACTTGATTCTGTCTCTCTCTGTCTCTCTGTCTCTCTGTCTCTCTCTCTCTTTCTCTCTCTCCATTGGGGGAGGGGGGCTGAAGGCGAGTGAATTACTTAGACGAAAGTTCATCTACTGGAATAAAGGGGGAGGCTGCTTGGGCAGGCGACACAGGAGAGTCGGTGGTAGTGCTGACTTTCGCTGGTGAGTTACAGGAAGATCCGGCACTGCTGCTGTTTCCATCCAGGGTATCGGAGGCTATGCACACGCCGGGGTCTGACAGCTGTGCGACGTCAGAAGACAGCATGTTGGTGATGCCCTGGAAAAATCTCTTTGGCTGATAATCAGTTTCCATTTCACATTTTCTTTTCAATGGTCCAAGAACACTTGGTCTGATGCAGTTGATGGGACTCTGGCTTCGCCGGGTAGTAAACCGGGTAGTGGGGCTGGGAATAGGGCTTGGAGGCAATCCGTTGCTACTCACAAAACTTTGCAAGGACGGTGAAAAACACTGCTTCCCAATTCCCCGGGTGGGGGACGGTGCTGGAGACACCGGAATGAAATCGATGCGCTTGGGAGAGGCGGATTTCTCCACGTCGTTGTCACTCAGGCTGAAACTTTCCTCCCAGGAGTGGCTTATCTGCATTGCGGTCTGCACCTCGCGCTCGTGGACCGTCTCCCGGTTGATCAGGTCCATGCCCTCCTCCTGTTTGATCTGGTGCAAGCGGCTGCTGTGCATGCGGACCGGCGAGGCCGGGAGCAGCAGGCCGTGGCGGCTCGGGAACGTTGTGCTGTTCCGTCTGGCGCTGGGCGCCTCGGCCTGGAAAACCGGCGAGGAGTCGCTGAGGCCGTGGATCAGGGGGGCGCTGTTAGATCTCCGAAGGCCCCCACCGCCAGGGCCACCGCCCTCCGCCGGGCTCGCGCCCGTGCCCGCGGGCAGCTCCAGGTCCAGCTCCATCTTCTCCTGAGCCATGTCTCGGCAGGGAGGCGGGGGCGGTGCTCAGTCAGGGCCCTGAGATTCCCATTCCCCGGGCCGAAGGCCGCCGCCGCCGCCGCCTTCGAGAATCTGTCAGCAGGTTCGCGCCTCTGCGCATGCGTGCCCCGTCGCGCAGGCGCCCCGACACGCCCGTCCTCGCGGCGCCAGCTTAACGCGTCACTGCTGCGGCGCGCCGGCGGGGGAAGGGCGAGCGGTGGTTGGTTAGCTTGTCAGTTCATTCCTTCCGCAAATAGTCGCTGGGCGCGGGTTAGCGGGAAGGCCGGTTGTAAAGGCCGCGGCAGTCAGAAGTCTATGTTTGTGAAGCAAGTATGAGCTCAGAAAGACTGAGCCCTTGGCGATGCGGGGCTTTATGATGGAGCATGGGCTAGCCTGGGAGGGCTTCCCGAGAGAAGGGAACACAGTCTTCTGAGATCTAAAGGAGGCAACTGCGGCGCTTTGTAAAAGCCGTCCTGGAAGAGGGAAGCCCCTGCTACCCAGCTAGGTGGCAGACGGAAACCAGAAGTGTTAGCCTGGTGGCGGACAAGAGCAAGTTCTGGTCTTTCTTGATAAAAAGGAAAGCTTCTAGGCGTTCTTAAGGAACGGCAGAAGGGTACGGTAGCAGCCGAACTGTTCTTTGGCTGCGGTCTGGAGAGTAAGACATAGGGGTGATTAGAACCTACAGGGAGTAGGCCAGAGAGGACGGTAATTTACATGAAGGCAGAGTCTGGGGTGGGGGGGACGAGGGAGAGAATAAGCACATTTAAGGCTGGGAGAAAGAAGCTTTCTGACTTTCTAAATCGTCATATTTCTGCCACTAATGTTCACTCAGCATGGGGATTAAACGAACGGAAAAAGACACATTTAAAGAATAACAGGTTTTGGCATATGTAATTAACACAGAACTTTGTATCTCATTAAAAGAGGGATTGTATTTGTTCTTTTATTCAGTCAAATCTCCTATCCCAGCATGCCTATTTACTGTGTACCAGGTACTGTGCTTAGGAAATGAGACTTGTGTGAGGGCATTTGGTTTCTCCTGGGTGGGAATGGGGGTGGTGACCAAATGGGGGACTTTTGGCGGGAAGCCTTTGGGGGTAAAAGTAGGATGGTGTGATAAGGTACTACCAATAGAAGAGGTTAAGGGGCAACTAGGTAAAGTTAAGTTGTAAATAACAAGTCTTGTGGACTGCAGGGGGTTGAGTGTTCCAACCAATGTTAAGAGCCAAGACATCCACTGGTGTGGGGAAAAGCGGGGGTGGGGGAGTGGAGGATAGTGAAAGTGTGATGGGGACTGTGGCCTGAGAGGGCAGAGGACTGAGTATATCTTATTCTGTAATGAGAAGCCAATGGAGAGTGTTAGGCAGGGTTACAATAGGCGTGTGCTTTATTTGTACATTATTGTTTGGGATGGAGTCGAGACTATGTTTTTGCTGAGGCTAATCTCAAACTCCTGAGCTCCCGGATGCATCTCAGCCCTCAAGGAAGCAGGCCTCAGGGCAGACAGCATCACACTAAACTTGGTGTATACTTTAAACAGCAGTCCGGCTAGGTAGAAAAGGAGCTGAAAGAGGGCAAGAGGTACACAAAATTAGGAAGTAGAAAGCAGAGCGCGGGACTAGGGTTGTAGCGGAGGTGGTGGGGAGAAGCAGATGGACACGACATGATTTGAGGTTCAAACAGTAAGACTGGCCAGGAGATTAAATTGAGGTGTTCAAAGAAATAAGCAATTTAGATGGTAATATCAAATAGATAGGAAAGGTATGCGATGGAGGTTAAGAGTTCAGTTTTGGGAGGGTTGGGGTGACTTTTAGATACAAATGTGGCCACTTTGAGCGGATAGTAATTTTTTTTCAGCTGAAAGGAAAAAAAAAAAAACAACAAACGGCGGATACAGGGATCAGTGACATTCAGCATTGCTCAGCTCTCCAAGCCTCCTGTCTCCCAATTCATTTCAAATAGGTTTTATTTGAAGTGTCTACTAAATATGGGTCCTGAAGATAAAGACAATGCTAAGTGTTTGGGTTGGTTACAGAACTAATTTGCACGTTGCCATAATCCATTAAATCCTCATAACAGTCTCATGGGTAGGTATTATTGACCCAAATTTTCAGGGGAAACCAGAACCTGCAGAGAACCTGGCCTCTGTGGGTACAAAGACTTAGAATGCTTACTGATGCCTTTACGTGCAATGGAGTTTAGGGACTCAGAAATCATTTGCATATTGGTGGCAGTGTAAAGGAAGTAGTATGAGAGAGAATTTGAAGGACAGGTAGGATCTTAATGGGTGATGTTTTATATAGAAGGAGCAGATGACTACAGCAGAGTGAACTTGACTAATAGATGAAGTAAGTACCTGGAGAAGAATAATGGGGAAAGATGGTGTCAGAATGGAGATGCGAGCGCCTGGCAGAAGTTTCTATATTTAACATGGGAAGTAGTAGGCTGCTGCTCAGATTTTGACAAGAATGACACAATGAGAGCCATGCTGTAGGATCTGCCTGATGTTTCAAAGATGAAGTGATGGCAAATAACGGCAGATGGAATGAACCAATGATTTAAGTGTCTGTTGCTTCCAGTCATTTCAGCATTGCAAAGTCCCGCTTTCTCCTGATTGCAGTTTTATAGATTAAATACTGGTCTATAAGTTATATGTTATAAATTAGTTACTGATGTTGTTAAAAGGGGTCAGTTGTCAAAAAAATAATCTCAAAAGGCCCAATTGCCAATAATATGGAAGAACAAAGCCCTGAACCCATATAAATCAAGGTCCTAATTTGAAAGCTGTTACGCTGCTGCCTGATGAGTCTCACAGGGACTTGGGAGAATTTGAAGATTAATTCTTAAGACAGAGGATGCTCTAAAAGCTGGGAAGAGCGGGAGATGTATTTGGGGGACACCTTTATACTCAGAAGATGAAGAGAGATGAGTGTCAGATATAGACGTCTACAAGGAATGGTCCATTAACTTAAACAACAAAGGGAGAAAAATGTTCATAAAATAGGAGGTAATGAAAGACTCTTAGACATAGGATGTATTTTAAAATATCTGTATCTGTAGAAGATTACTAATTATTGCTAATAAGCCAATCATTGTTTACCCATGTCTGATGTCCAGGTACTAATGTAATTATTAAAGTACAGTGATTTTGATAATCCCACAAAGTAAACCACTTATGCCACACCAGTTAGAGGTCTCTTTTTGTTTTCCTTCCATGCCTTTCCCATAGAGTCCACGTTACCCAATTTTCAGTATAATCATTTTTTAAAATTTGACTTACTGCTTTCTTATTCAGAATCCTTAGATTTTTGTGCATTCTTTTGAAAAAGGCTAAGGTCATCCCAATGGCCATGGCTTTCCTGATGAGTCTCTGTCCTCCTGCTGACCTCTTCTCTAAACTTCCAACCCCAGAGGCCTCCTTGCCCTGAAGCCCTTCTAGACACTGCCCTAATCCTCATAGATGACTTCCTCTGGTGGTCAGCCACACTGCTAAGTTCCTTCCCACAATGAAATGACACTGGTTGTTCTCTCTGACATTACCTTAAGAATAAAAAAGCAGTTTCCTATATTCTGACTGCATTTCCAAGCCTCTTATCCAGTATTTATATCCTCTGGGAGAATCACATGTCTCTCTGTCCCTACTTCCATTCCACTCTAATCTCTATTCCTACGTCAGTGCTTTCTTGCCTCTTCTCCACCTAGAAATTTAAGTTCCTTATGAGCAAAACCAATTTTGCTCTGGGCCATATGCCCAGTATCAACAGCATGGCCTGCCACAGACTATTCAGTGTTTCTGGAGCCATTGTGTGAATGAATTATAGTGAATGAACGAAATAATATAAGTCTGTCCAAAAGGGAAGTGAAGACTGTTATTTGGAAAGCTAGCCTAACAGGCTTTTCTAGATTGATCCTAGGCACCTCTTCCTGTGAGTTCTTTCTAATGCCAGGAATATTATTCTTGGTTATATTGCCCTCCAGCCCACACAGGTAAGTGACTTGAATGAACCATTATGTAACCCAATAAACCAGAGCCCTGTGGTTCCATCTCTTTTCAACCTTCTGCTGGCACATGCTTGACAGAACTAAAATGCTCAGTGCTGAAGATTCTAAACGGAGTTTAATATATTGAGTTACTGCTTCCTCTCAAAGCAATCACGAACAAATTAGAGAAAATCGAAGTCATAAAATACAATTCAAACTGTTACAAATGAATTGTGTGAGAGGCAGCATCTAAAGGACCAAGCCCTAGTTGAACAGCCTTCTGGTTTCACTCTATAAATTAAATATTATATGTGTACAGTTGAAATTCATGTTCAATTCTACACCATAAAACTAGATATCTCTTCAGGTATTGTGATTAATACTTGATTTTAAAAACTAATGTTTTTTTTCATTTCTGTGATATTTTTCATTTTTCACTGGTAAGAAGCCTTTGAGCATATGGCAAGGCAAATTTCTACCTCTCAATCTATACCAAATAAATGGGAAATGTAAACACATGTATGTTTATGAATATAATCTGGAATGAGTAGCAAATGTCTCAACTTCCAACATTGGTTGGCATCATTAATCTAAAGGAAAAGAAAATTGTACTCTGAAAACACAGTTACTTAGGAATGTTCACTGGTACATCAATTTAGGAAAAAATGTCAGCATAAAAAAATATATGCACTAATTTTGGATATACCCAAGAGAGATGAGTGCTGAGTTCTAATAAAAGACAGAAGAATATTCCTGATTTACTATTTGTAATAATCCCAAGTCAAAATCCACCCAGATACCCACAAAGGAACAAATACATAGACAATGGCATTTTTCACTCAAAAAGATGTTTGGATCACAGCATAATCCTGGATAGAAGATTTCAAACACAGTATGTACTCTATGGTCATATTTTGTTTTATTTTGAAACAGGGTCTTTCTAGGTCTCTCTATGTAGTCTTAGCTGGCCTGGAGCTCACTATGTAGACCATGCTAGCCACAAATTCAGAGATCTGACAGACTTCCCCTGCCTTTCAAAGTGGTGTAGGACAATTGTCTATATTCTGTCAATTATATTTTAAATAAACACTGATTGGCCAGTAGCCAGGCAGGAAGTATAGGCGGGACAGCCAGACAGGAAGTATAGGCGGGT